TCAGGGTGATGTGGGAATCTCAAGAGGGGAAATGGGCTGAAGTGGCATTAAGGAATACTGTGGGTACAGAAACAAAGAGAACTAAGGAATCTTGGATCTGTCGGCCCTCTGCTGGCTCTTACCTGGCCCGCTCTGAGCACCTGCTGGAGGCCGGCTCGGGTCTGCCCAGCCTGGAAGGGCAGCAGAACTGATGGTGACTGCGGCTTTTAGCTGGCTGATGGGAACTGAAGGTGGAAGCTGAGGAGAGATGAGTGATTGTGGAGCAGCTGGAGGATGAGTGTAGTCTGACACCTCTGAGAGAGACAGAGAAAGACTCAGAAAGGGATGGAAGGACGAGTGGAGAGCAAAAAAAGGGACAGAGATGGACAGAGAAAGAAGCAGATAAGCAGACAATAGCAGAAACATACAAACAAGCAAAAGCAGTTCATACAATACAGAAAAAGTTAAGAGAGATGCTATAATGAGATGTTAAAATTTAAAAGTGTTAATAAGTAATGTGAGATTAACTTAAAAATGAGTGTTAGCAGCAAATACAGTTACACACACTAAAAAATTATAATTTGGAACAACTTGGAACAAAAATACTCTATTTTGTTGCAGGCAAATTTATTAGGTTTTTTCCCCTATATTTATGGTTTAGTTCAAACCTTAAATTTTGATTTAATATTTATCAAAAATACTTATTTTCCCAAAGACAAAAACATTTATACAAAGTAAAAACATCATTTATTATTAAAAAAATGTAATTATTTAAAATGTATTATAAATAAAGACAGGAGTGTTCTCTTTGAAATACTTTAATGTTTTGTGAAGTTTTGTGATGTCACTTTTAAAATATGCATCATCTTTTCTGCTATGTAATAAAATAAAAAATAAAATACAAAAATTTCTGCAGTCAATCAATCTTGCCCATATGCGTTCTGCACATTAACAATCTGGTGTAAAAGTAAAATACTATTAAAAACAAAACTTCTTTTATTTTTTTTCTTTCCTATGGGGAGTGTTGTTTGCTTTTAGCAGACACTGTGGGTTTCATTTAGAAATTGGACTTTATATAAATTACACAATCTTTTGACTTTTTCAGTGCAAGCATAATGGAATAAAGAAAATGTAACAGACCCATAACAGGTTTGAATATTGTACAATCAATAATTTTTATTAAAGATGCCAATGCTCTTGCAGTCTGCCATCATTCATTATTTCAGCCCAATATGTGTCCGATAACCTATCATTTGCTAACGATAAAAAGATTTAACTGCTTTTAAATTATTAATGTGTCTTTAAGTAAATGTTAAATTGTGGAAAATACAAAAATAGACTAAATGAGCATGAATATACAGTATGGACCAATAATTTAATAAATCAGTAATATTAGCCAATAACTGATATGCAAGCCTAATATTGTGCATCCCTAACGTGATATAATTTTGTCAAGTTTTCTTTTAAAAATATTTTAAGATAAAGTAAAATTTTTAAAGAAGGAAATTACTGAGTGCACTTTGAATGTGAATATTAGTCTGGATGTAAGAAAGCTATTCAAATGTCATACTTTGCAATAATGGTCATCCTGCTGTAATGTAAAAAGCAGCACTGTTTGATGTGTGAGTAGAGCGAGAGAAAGATGGAGAGAGAGAACTCTTGAGCTCAGAAGACTCCTACCACCTCTGTGGCTTACATAAACCAATACAGTGACTGAAATCTTCACATTGTGTAAGTCTGCTCATTACGCATATGGTATTTCCCCCCCTTGATGCTTTTATTCAGTCCTTTCAATACTGTATGCACTCATGATATTTGCTATTCAGCTGACATTCAAAGGCACCCCACATGCAGTATAAGTGCTTCTGTCTGCTGCCACAGCAAACGGCCACTCGTAAGTTCAGTTTGGGAAGCTTTCCAGCCTCATACTGCAGCATCTCCAAGAAGAATGAAGAATCAGTGAAGTGGTCTTCACTGAAACACTACATGCTCTTCTATAAAGCAGCTGTGCTGCATGAGTCACTCCATCTGTAGCACGTTAGCATTTAGCTCTAAAGTCACAGCAGTCAAACATGCTGATCCAAATTCATTCATTTTACCATGGCAACAACATCATATGATACAAATGTATGTTTCCTTCAAGGGTGTAAAATACGCAGCGTCTGCCTCAATTTTAGTAAAACCTATCGGGTAAATATGTTTGTGTTGTGTATTTAATTGGACAAATAAGTACATGTAAACAATGTTACAATTTACTAGTTGCACTATAAAAAACATTTGTAAAAATTGGGCACAATGTACTTAGGTTCCTGGTTCTATGAAGCCCCTCCCTCAGAAACACGGAATGAGCTCAGATTGGTTAGCTTGCCCAGTGTGTTGTGATTCGCTATAGTGCACGTTGTCCGGAAATGTCACACCCCCTTGCCATTACGGGTAGTTGCATGTGCTCCGGGGGCAGGGTTTATGTAAATTTTGGGTTTGTGATGTCACAAATGCAGGAAGAAGCTCGTTGTAGTCCCTACCAGCCGTTTGTTGTAGCCCTTAAAAAGTGAATTCTGTAAAAGAAAATATCTCCCTTTGCATTGAACTTTGAGCGTCGTAACGTTGCAGATGTAGTTTATGCTCAAACAGCAACATCACACTCTAACTAAAGTTTAAAAAGTCAAATAATCAAGAACCCCTTTAAGCCGCACAACTGTTTGCAACATTGATAATAATAAGATATGTTTCTTGAGCAGCAAATCAGCATATTAGCATGTGACTGAAAACTGAAGTAATGGTGCTGTTATTTCAAAAACGATTGAAAAATCTCCCTTCTTCTGAATAGTAGAATATGTACAGTATATATATGTATGGAAGCAAGGGTTTGTGTATGTAAATCCAAGAAAAAATGAAACCATGTGAAACTCGTATTCATTAGCAGCAGAATTCAGCCACACACTGTCACAACACTTTGACACTTTTTCTTTAATTGGTCTCATGAATGAATCTATTTATTACAGCATTGAACAATGTGGAGAAAATGTTTTTATAATATTTACCTGTTTAGTTCCACTAAACAAGGTCAAAGAGAGAAAGAATCCAAACACCACCATCATGAGGTAAATATGCCTATGAATGAATAAAAAGCTAATTAAATCCTCCTGAAATGTTATATAACATATACCGTAATGTTTCAGTTTTTATGGGCACAGGAACAAAAAGTGAATCATTATAAACCTTAACAGCTGGATTCATGAATATTAATTAGGAGACGTAGCGTTCGCTTAGCCCTTTTTGAGGCGGGTAAGTGGGTGCTAGACAGAGTAAATTACCACTTGCATGTTCGTTCAGTCCACTGCTGAAGCAACCAGCTGGCAGAGGCTTCAGCTTAGCTGTTTTGTGTGGCTGGATACAAGTTTTTCTCTGCACTGTGACGGAAAGTAACTAAAAAGCACAGAAAGTCTTTGCTTTCAAGTCAATGCAGTGTTGATATTGTACAGTATATATATGCAAATCATGTGGATTGTTGCTACAGATCATTATAGACATGGGATTAAACAGCATCTTACCTCTCTAAATGTTTTGTGACAGAGACTGAATTAAAGGCAGCGAGAGAAACAGTCAGTCCCCGGAGCGAGAGCTCCCAGTGGGAAGATTACGCGACTAAGACAGTAAGAGCTTTTCAACAGAGCCACATTTATTACCCCCACGCCACAGCCTGCACCTATCTGCTAAAGCACGAGTAATAGTCTCACCTGAGGGTCTCGCTTTCCATTTTACACACACATTTATGCGCCAAGTCATTGCTTTTCCAAAGCTAAAAGATAAGGCTTGATTTCCAACTCATTCCTGTCGCACTTAACTGTAATTAAAGAAAGACTCAATCCTCTTTGCAGCAGA